CTGATACATATTTAACACGTCCTTTGAGAAACTCCAGGGCCCTTGGAATTTCCCAAAGCCATGCCAAGCCAAAAGGTTGGGCTTTTTAATTCTGGAAAGCCTTGTCAAGCAACAAAAGGTGAACAGACAGGAAATTCCACGGAGCCGTGCCACACACGTGGGATCCCCCTGCAGCCTAGCTGAGCAAGGGGTGTCGCTCCTCAGGCTCCTATGCCGTTCCCTATAGCAAGATGGCTCTTGACAGTATAAAAAGCAAAATATTTAGGAATAACTTTAACAAAAGAAGTATGAATTTGAGCACTGAAAACTGTAACACGTGGGTAGTGTTGGAAACGTGTAGGTGTTGTATCATCATTGAGCCTCCTCTCCTTGGCTCTGAGGACTTTACCTTAACAGAAAGGAAAGGGATTGCATTCGTGGCCTTCATGTTTATTAGAGGTGGGCTCAGGGTGAGGTCTATGAATAGAAGATCAAGGCCCACAAAGAGAAGGAATGGCAATCCATATCTCAGAGGGAATAGTATCAGGCACTGATTCTCTCCACCCAAACCCTGCTAATCAGCCTGTGTTTAAAGGATCCCCAGGTACCATACAAATAGGTGTTTAAGGCAGAGGCCTGGGATCCAGGAGTCTTAGGAAAGGAGGCTGGGGATTCTAAAGTCCGAGGCAAGAGGGCACTGGGAAGAACAAGGCTGAGTTCTTCGGGTCTGCAGCATAGAGACTAAGGAGCAATTGTAGGAACAGAGAACATACAGAAATTTGAAGAAGGCAGGACATAAATTAGGAAAAGAGAAAACCCGTGATAGGTCTTGGGCAAGAGTCAAGCCTCTGATACTCCCTCCATTCACGCCCCCCCCAACTTCCCCTTGCTTTCACACCCACCCTCCCCCCCCCTAACACACACACTTAAGCCCACATCAACCTGGATGCCTGGATGACTCAAGAAGGGCATTTTTCTCTTTGAGGAGGAACAGTGTTAGTAATGGCAGCTTTGGGAAACCCCTGTGAAACTCCTTGCCTAGTTTGTGGCAGAAATCAGGGAAGGAAAAGTAAAGTTTAGGTCTATGTCACAAATAAAAGCAAATAACTGAAGGTTTGATAGATTGTGGATGGAACTTGGGAGTCTGGGCAAATAATTAGACATTGGAGTGTAAATTAGAGTAAGGATTATGGAGTGTGCCTAACCTATGACTCTGGTATTTTATTCCACTATAGTGTACACTATAGCAGTTTTTCCAACTGAGTTAATATCCATTAGTGAGTTAGACCAGACATCTTTTTAGTGGGTTTGAAGAGTTACCATATTAATTTCTCAATTGTTAACAAATTTAAGGTAAACTAGAGACTTGATTTTTCATGCTTTAGAACACATTGTAGAAAATAGATGTGTTGTATTACCACACGATTTTAAGTGAACTAAGAAACTTAAAGCTAATTGTTAATATCGACTGCTTTGCCCACCTTTTAAGTTCCCCATTTGATCACAATGTGTCAGGTTCTCCAACTATATTTAGTAAAGAAGTAGAACTTCACATTACTGTCATGTGGGTAGGGGTCAATACTGATATGTCAGATCCTGGTCTACCTGCATGCAGCAGGACTGAATCCCCCAGCAAGTAAATGAAACTTCTTTACTTGTTGCAGAGGCTTATGAGAAGTGTAGTCTAGCCCTTTAATGAAGTCACCAGTACAGGACCATGAAAAAGGAATTTCTGGGTTTCTTCTGCACATGTGCCATTTCCTCTACCACCACCACTTTTTGCCCGGAAATTCTGACCCTGCCAGCACTCCCATCGCTGTTCCACAAGCTCTGGGGTTGGGTTCTTTGTCTCTGGAGGTAAATGTGAGGGTGTAGGAAGAGTTCTGGGGTCCTTGAGGGACCCTGGGCAGCGAGACGTGTGTCACACCACTTGTGGGAGCAGAAACATTGGTAGATTTCAGGTGGATAGGACCTGACATGTAAGTGCAAGCCTTGGACCTCAGCTGGATCCAAGAGGAGGACACTAATGTCAGGATCTGCAGGTATGGGGCTGGGGAAGAGGGAACTCAGGCTATGCTTTCCATGATTATTTTATCAGAAGACTGGGTGCTGCCAGAGGCTGGGTATGTCCTTCCAGGTGTACAAAAGCTGGTTCCTGAAGCTCCAGGAACAGGGGGAGGTGGGGTCTTACAGACTGTGTGTGTGTATGGGAGGTCTGTGGTATGAGTTCCCATTATACCTCTGACACTGAGGATGTAGGCAGTGTTACTAACCTTTATGAAATTCAGCTTACCCATCTATAAGTTGTGCACGTTAACAATACTAGTGAAATGCCCCCAAATTCGTAGAGAAATAATTGTGATGAGTATGCAGACCGATTGTTACCATGTGGCGGTTGTGTCTGTGGGGTTTCTTGATTCCTCTTCGGCAAGTGAAGTTTCTAGTCTACTCCTATACTTTATAGCCTACCTAGTCCTCCTGATTGTTACCATGTGGCGGTTGTGTCTGTGGGGTTTCTTGGTTCCTCTTCGGCAAGTGAAGTTTCTAGTCTACTCCTATACTTTATAGCCTACCTAGTCCTCCTGGTTTGAGTTTACAGAATTTTATACAAGGCCTTGTTTCCAGGGGCAGTGAGTTTTAGAAGGGAGATTGGGGTACTGGATGATGGTCCAGTTTTCTTTAGAATAAAGCAGGTGTTACAAAGTTTGAAGGAGGGCACCCTGAGAATAGGATTCCCACCAGAAAGAACATCCCTATGGCCTGAACCCTTTCACTAGTGCTTCAGAGCAGAGGCAAACCCAGAAAGAGGAAGATCCTAACTTTGCATGCCCCATGCAAGTATTGATTCTACTGTGTAGAGTGAACAAGGTGTGAGTGATACGCCTCTTCTGGAAGCTATCAGTGACTGGGAGCTAGTGGGAGGTTTGGACCAATTTTCAGAAGAGAAAGATGAGGCTGAGAAGGGCCTAGAAAATATTACTTATTGGAGGGGTCTGAAGGTATGGTTTGTGGTGGAGGGGATACCCTGTCACACCTGAGAGGATTACCCTACAGTGTTCTTTAAACACATGCCCATTCTTTCAGTCTCCCCTCATTGATTGTTTCCAGAGTCTGAGCTCTATTAAACCTGGTCTATCACCAGTTTGGCATCTAGAGATATGCCAATGATTCCTCTATTCTAAGGTATTTCTGCTTTTCACTAGTGTTATCTGTTTTGCCACCATTAAAACAAGTGCTTGTTTATTTTTGAGATCATTTTTGTGAGTGAAGTCGATTTAGAATAAACATTGCTTTAAAATATCTTGTTTTAAACACGCCCCTCTTTTTACTGCAACACTTTCTGTGGATTCTGTGAATTCAGCAGATTAATAATACAAGTATTTCCCACTTACTGTCAATAATCTGATCCTAATAACCATAAATTCTATAGGAAAATAATATGAGCCTATTTAAATTATTTAAATTAAATTATTTAAATTATTTTAAGTGGGAAAATTAAACTGCATTACATTTCTGCTCCAACCCAATAAAGTGTCAGTAAAACAGTACAATGCTTGCATATAAATAACAGAATTATGTTATGATGTGGAAAACTAAAAATACAGTCTTCTAATGTGCAGACAGTTGCTTTGAGTTACATTGCTTCAACCATACTCAAGTCCATTCCATTGACATTTATTGTGCTTTTCAAACCTTTACATGTGGTTATGAAGTTTTATCTATTGCTATTTGGCATGCAGTTGAAGGCTGTCTCTCGCACTCCCCAATTTGTTAAAAACATTGAATTTCAGGTTCTTAGATGTATCAGTTGGACTTTGCTGTGTAATAAATCAACAAAAATCTATTGCCTTATGAAAAGAACCGTTTGATTTGATCATGTTTCTGTTCATCAGCATTTGGGCTAAGCTCACTTGGGAAATTATTATGCTGGTGTTGCCAGGGATCACAAATGAGGCTATAGTCACTTGATACCTTGGCGTTTGATTTGATCATGTTTCTGTTCATCAGCATTTGGGCTAAGCTCACTTGAGAAATTATTATGCTGGTGTTGCCAGGGATCACAAATGAGGCTATAGTCACTTGATACCTTGGCTGGTTGGTCACATGTCTGGTGATTTGTGCTGGGTCCTGGCTAGGCCCTGCACAGAGCAACAGGGTAGCCCAGGCTTCATCCAGATATGATCGTGTCCAAGAAAGCAAGCGCCAGTGAGGAAGTATTGTTCAAACCTATGTTTGCATTACATTTACTGATGACCAAAGCAAATTAAATGGCAAAGCCCAGGTTATTGTCAGAGGGAGGGACTATATGAAGGTGTGGATACATTGAGGCTTGTCATTTGGAATATATTATGCATGTTTTTTTCCTAGGTAATTGTGGATGAAAAACATTGGGTTGCAACATGCATACTTTCTAGGAAATTTAAGTATATAAAAGCAAGAGGTGTTTACATGGAATCTTTTGTGGTATTCTCATACTGATGGGAAAATAGTTCATATAGACCAAGTGCGTTTTTATAAAATTAAAGCTTAGGGGCCGGCCCGGTGGCGCACTGCTACAGTGCGCTGCTTGGGAGTGTGGCGGCGCTCCCGCCAAGGGTTTGGATCCCACATACAGACCGGCCACTCACTGGCTGAGCGAGGTGCGGGCGCGACACCGAGGGTTGCGATACCGTTGCCGGTCCCGGTCCAGTACGGGCGCAACACTGAGGGTTGTGATCCGTTGCCGGTCACGAAAAAAGACAAAAAGGAAAAAAAAAAAATAAAGCTTAGAGTGAAGACATAATGTTTTTTCCTTTGGCTTAAATTATTAAATTGTTTATTTAGAGAACATTCTTGCTACATCAGTAGGAAATGTATGTTTTTATTAACCCAGTAATAAATTGTGTTTAATCTCTACCAATTGATATATTTGTGGGTACTTTGTAGCCACAAATGGGGTCTTTGTAGCCCTTTCTTGCTTAAGAGACTGTTCTACCATAGGGAGGCCATTTGTTGTTGTTGTTGTTTGTCATCTTTTCCAGATGATGTGTAGAGTTTTTTGAGCAGGAGAATCCAGGACCAAGCCACGCCAGTTCTCTCATGACGAACTCCATTGGCCTTCCCTACCAGCTATGCTTCCAACGTCACTCCTCTGTACTTTCAAGCACAGCAAAAAATGAGTAAATCTTTGGTCAATTATTTATTCCTTACTTTGTTTTACAGTGTTTTTTAATGAGCTTTGTGGGGTCCATGAGTTAAAATGGAAAAGTAGAAATAAGTAAAACTAAACTTCAGGGAAATGTATGTCAATAAGATAAAATTGGCATGTAGATGTAAACATGTTGTAAAACCTTAAAGTATAAGTTGAGTACAAATTTGTCTCTGGTCTTTCTGATGTCATGGCAAGAAGGCAGACACATTTGTTACGTGATTAGAATGCAGTCTAGGAAAAGAGCATGCTAAATTCTCATGGGACATCATAACTTGCTGACACCAAAGTTTGTAACACTGTCCTCATTGGTCACATAGATTATATGTAGTAGAAAGTTTTTCACTGCCAATCTGGAAACAAACACTTTCAGCATTCAGCAGTAGAAACAGTTACCTAGTGCTAAAGCAAAATTATCAAATAATAAGATTATTCCGGAGTTGCTAAAATAGTGTGGTCCCAGGCAGATTTTGAAGGCCATACTTGATTTATGGATAAAACCTGGAACATCTGGAGGATTGAGTCGATCACAGGTCCTTACATTTCTCTCATCTCATCTATACATCCAGGTTGTGCAGTAGACTGCTCAAAGTTATGTTTTCTGGCAAATATTCTCAGTGCTTATTTACATTTTAACCCACACAATGTAGTCTTAGTTTGGTTTTTCAAAAGCTCACCAGTAACCTAAATAATTACATTTAGTGACTATTCTCTATTCTTTGCTGAATTGGAATCTTCTGCCATATTTGAAACTACTGTTCACGACCTCTTCTGGAAATTCTTCTCTGGTAGTTTCTGCAGTGGCCTCTCTGATGGCCTCTTTTCTGTTTTCCTGAGTTCTGCTTTCTTTTGCTCCTTAACATAGCTACACTAAGTACTTAATCCTGGTGCCATTCTTCTCACTCTGCAGTTCTCCTTGACTCATTCAGTCTTCTGTGGTATGCACCGCTATTTCTCCTCATCTTGCACCACTTCCCCAGACGTTAGACCATTGGTTGAACTCTTTGTTTAGGGCTTCTTTGTAGTTATCCAAAGGGCACCTCCAGCTCAACAAATCCAAAATGAAAGCCTCATCCTCCTCTCTTCCCTTACATATACTATCACTACCATCCAGCTAGTGACCCTACTCACCAAAATGGGATTTTTGTCTGTAGTCCTTCCATTCTGTCAGGTGTAATCTCATCCGGTGTCATGTTCTGTTACTTTTGTTTGTTCTTTTCATTTTATTCCAATATCTGCATGCAGTGCTGATGTAGAGGGAGGAGCTTTTGTTATGTATAAACAAACACAGTGTAGTAGATTGAATTACGTCCCCCCAAAACTCATTTAAGGTTGAATTTTGTCCCCCATGTTTTATGTATTAGAAACTTAGCCCCCACTGTGACTGTTAAAAGGGTGAATTACCTATTATGGTAATTGAAAGGTGGAGCCTTGAAGAGCTGATTGGATTGTGGGACCATGCTGTAGTGAATGGATTAAAAATGGTGGTCAGGGTGTGGTTCTGAGGGCTTTAGAAGAAGAGGAGAGTCTGTCTCTCTGCTCTCTCTGCTTCTACCATCTTGCAATGTGTGACCCCTCGGTCACTGTCATCACCACCACCAGATGAACTTTGGGCTTTCCGGCTTCAGATGTAAGCAGTAAATTTCACTTTCTTGTAAATTACCCAGTTCCATGTATTTTGTTGTAAGCAACAGAAACAGACTAATACACACAGTAACTTTGTTATATTGCAAATGTCATTCTTGGCAAAACCTGAAGGATTGTTTGCTCAGTATGAGCTTCAGTCCCTCTCAGACTATGCATTTATCCAGCATGTATGAAGACATTCTTAGGAGTCCACTGCGAGAAAGAATTTAGGAGTTAATGGGACACGTTTAAACAAGGGTCAATAAAAATATGGGGCTGGCTGGTTGCTCAGTTGGTTAGAGTGTGCTGTTATAACACCAAGGTCAAGGGTTTGGATCCCTATACCGGACAACTGCCAAAAAAAAAAAAATAATAATGGAAAGAGAAAAAAATAAATAAAAGTTAATAAGAGAATAAAAGGATATGGAAAGAATAAAAATAAGCACAGATTTTCATAATTTCTGTTCTTTGCTTATATATATTTATGTCAGTGATTTCTATCTCTAGATTTTATTAATATACAGTTGTAAGTTTGTAGTTCAAAAAGACCTGTCATGTCTCTTAAAGATTGTATATATTTAGTTCTCCTATTTCAGGTAACCGCTTAAAAATGAATAGGGAAAAATGGATATGTGCATCAGTTATAACTATGTTTATGGACTAGAACGGTAGTTAATAGTTGGTTAAGAACAAAAGGTGACAACTGAACATTTTACATTCACAATTATATTTTGAGATCTAACATAAAATATGACATGTTCTTTATTTGTTTATTTTGAACCCAACATTCAGTCTAAACCTACACACTCCATGTTTACCTGGGGTCTCTAATGACTTTTTTGGTGTTCCAGTTATCTGCTGCATAATAAAGTACCACAAAACATATGGCTTAAAATAGGATTTACTACATGTCACAATTTTGTGGGTTGAGTACACTGGACAGGGCAGTGTGGGTTGGATGCTTCATGATGTCTCTGGTCTGCTTCAGGGCAGTGTGATCTGCTACTTGATGTCTCTGGTCTCAGCTAGAAGGACACTAATGGCTGGGGTTATTGTGCAAGGTGGTTAGCCCTCTCTTTGTGCCCATGTGGGACTTCCTCACAGTCTGGCAGTCTCAGGGTAGTCAGACTTGCTAGCTTATTCTAGAGCAAGTGTCCAAGAGGCTCAGGCAGAAGCTGCAAGGTTTCTTATTATCTCTCCTCAGAAGTTCCAAAGTATCTCTTCCACCACATTCTCTTAGTTAAGCATATCACTAAGACCAGACCAATTTAAGAGGGCAGTTAGATTCCACCTCTCAGTAAGTAGAATAATAGGAATTTGTAGAAATCTTTAATGAACCACAGTTTGCCCTCTAGCCACAAATCATTTACATTTCTCCCACATGCAAATTACACTTTGCCTTTCTCTCAAGAACCCCAGAAATCTTTTCCTCTTATGGTACTGGCAGAAAGCCCAACTAAATAAGGTCTGGTGGCCTGTCATCTGCTCCTCCACATACACCCAGCACTGTGAGGAGACTGTTATGAACATGGTGGGCACTTCCCTTCATTTGGGATGTAGGAGATACCCTGCAGGGACTGGTCTAAGCTGTTAGGAATTCCCACTGTGGGCTTGCTCCCATTCTTTGATTAAGACCCCAGTCCTGGTCCCTGGGAAAATGCTTCATGCCTCTTCATTCTGCCCTCTGGACTCTTGAAATTCTGAGTTTTTCCTAAAGAGATGCCTGGGTTTGCACTTAATCAGCTTTCTCCACCTGTTTCTTGCTTTTTGGAAGTTGGGGATCCAATGGCTCATTTTTCATTTTTTTTCTCACTCAGGCCTTTTAATATAAGAAATGATTCCATTTAATTACTTCCTTAGAAAGTGTAGGCTTCCAGTATACTAAAACCACCCTCCTACACCCTTTGAGACAGGTCCTTTGTTCTCTGGCTTCCCCTTCCAAAGAAGGCTGCTTGCGAACTATGCCTTTGGAAGCTCTGCTGTGTAACTGGAACTATCTATGAGGCACACCCTAAGGCTCTTAGAATGCTGAAAATCTTTTTGATCTTTTGCCTTTTTAACTAAAGCCCTGTTTTGATCCTTTGAGCCAAGCCATTTCTTATTTTGAGAAGGTTTTGGTGGGAAAAACTGGGGATGAGAAACAGTTTTATTTCAAACCCAGCAAAATCTGACTCCTTTGTATACTCTCTAAATTCTTTTTGAAAACTGAACACCTTTCTTTAATTCATTTCTTTCCTCTCATATTGTCTTCAAAGCAGAGAGAAGAGGCCAGATAGCACTTTTCACATTCTTCCCAGAAATTTCTTTAGGCAGACCCAAGAGATGGTAAGATACCCTTTCAAGTTACCATGTTGTTACAGGCTGTAGTGTTGCTGACTACTCTTTAATACATAACCCATGTTAACACTAAAAAGAGAAAACGGGGCCTTCCGGTCAAGATGGCGGAATAGACAGTCCCCAACATCACTCTCACCCACAAATCAATAGATTTACAACTATAAAAAAGCAACAACTGCCAAGCTAGGGCTGCTGGGGCTCAGGAAGAGGAGGGGAGACCTATGGAGTGCATGAAGATGGGAGAAGCCACGATGAAAGAAAGAAAAAACCGCTCCAACCATTTCATGCTGTAGCTGCTTTAAGGCTGGAGCTGCTGAGCGCACGGAACAGGAGCTGGCAAAAGCCACAGCTGTGCCCTTTGGATGAAGTTGCATGGAGGCAGCAGGGGAGAAGAGGAACTTGGTGGACCCCAGGCCAGTAAGACCACTAATAGGGTTGCCGTGGACCCACATAGGACTGAGGAGCCACAGACAACTGAAAAAAAGGAGCCACTCAGAGGCTGGTGAGTCATGCAAGGAACCAGTGCATGGCCCATCCCATGGGAAGTTTTTGCAGCACGGGCGGTGGGGGAGACAGGCCCATCAGAGAAACACTGGGGCATGGCAAGGACAGCTGATTGGCACCCCGATCAGCAAAGGAACACTCAGAGGAGATTGTTCAGGAATATAGAATTGCATGGGGTGCAGTTTGATGAAAAGACTCAGGCCCTGATCAGAGTTTCTACACAACCCAGGTGTACCAGGTCTCTGGAGAGCCGGAAGTACCTATAAGGTCAAACATTAAAACCTGAGCTACACAAAAAGCCTTCCCTAGGGAATCGGCCACACAGCAGCAGTTTAGTTAAACCACACGGTTCAAGTACTGGTCCCCACAGGAAGTTCCCCCATTTTAAAAGTAAGCAAAGGACAAAAAATTAGTTTTGGCCCCGTCACACCACCGGTGCCTCAGGGCCCACCTGGGGACCTGAGGTATGGAGTCGGGGACCGGACTCCCCTTCCACAACCAGGC